TCTTTTACTTGAGTCCTGTGTAACAAATCATTTCTTTTCTAAAGTGTAACAAACCTTTAAGACAAGGGATCCCCTCTCTTCCTTTCTCTTTACATTGGTGGCTGAGGTCCTTAGAAAACTGACTTCAAGATCCAGTTATTTGCAGTTGTTCAGAGGTTGGTCATTAGATAGAGATAGGGTTGTGGTGACTCACCTCTAGTATGCAAATGATATTTTAATCTTCTGTGATGGAGAGAGTAGGGAGAGTATTGAGAATTTGATGTCGGTGCTTAGTTTGTTTGAGAAGGTGTCTAATTTGAGTGTAAATTGGAATTAGAGTTTGTAGCTGGTATTAATTTGGAAGAAGAGGAGCTTAGGGTTGTAGAGATTTTGGGTTGTGAGAGTGGAAAGTGGCCTCTAAGATATTTAGGGATGCCTTTAGGTGGTAACCCTAGATTGACTAGTTTTTGGACTCCAGCGGTGGAAAGGATTGAGAGAAAGCTTGCCGGTTGGAAAAGGAACTATATCTCTTTAGGCGGAAGGATAACTTTAATTAAGTCAACTCTTGATAATCTTCCTATTTATTTTATGTCAGTTTTTAGGATGCCTTGGGTAGCGGTGAAAAGAATTGAAAAGTTAACGAGGGACTTTCTTTGGGAACCGGAGAAGGGGGAAGAAAGATCATTTGTTAAGATGGGAACTAGTGGTGAAAAGGAAGGAAGAAGGGTGTTTGGGTTTTTTTTATCAATAACAGTAACTTTCCATTATAATAAACAGAACTAATTACAAGGAAAGGGAGATAAACTTTCTTAACTCCCTGAGTTGGGCAGGAGCCCCCATAAAAGCAAAAGAAGAAATTACAACTTTGCCCAAAATAAAGAATCCCAAGCAACCCCTTGCTTAGCTAACCCATCTGCAAGAGAGTTAGCAGATCTCTTCACCCAGCTGTACTTCACTTCCATCTCCCTTTGTTAGCCACTTGTAGATTTTCTGTTTCATTGCTGAGGTTCCACAACCCCGCCTTATCCTCTTGTAGCCATCCCTGCGAGTCACCTTCAACCACAAGTTTCCTTATATTCAACTCCTTTGCCTTTCTTATTCCCTCTAGAACCGCAAAAATCTCAGCCCTGAGGGAAAGGGGGTTTGGGTATTGGGAATGTGAGCCTAAAAAATCAGGCCCTATTAAGTAACTGACTTTGGTGGCTAGTATTCGTGGCCAATCAAGGAATGGATGGGATGCTGGTTGTCTGCATAGAGCTAATCTGGCTACACCTTGGAAAGCTATACATAGTATCCTCCCATGTTTTCACAATTTTGTAAAATATGATTTGGCTTCTGGCAGCAAGATAAGATTTTGGGAGGATGCTTGGGTTGGGGAATCTCCGTTGAGGGATGCTTTCCCCTCCCTCTTTGCTCTTTCTACTCTTAAAGATAGGATTGTGGCTGATTTCATCCAACATCATCCTTCTTCTTTGGGGTTGAATTGGAATTTGGGGTTTACCAAAAACCTTAGAGAGTCGGAAAACCCCTGATGTATCCAACCTGTTGAACATTTTGGGCTCTATTTTCTTTGATGTGGAGGGTAGAGATACTTGAGTTTGGTCCCCTAACCCTATTGGGCCTCTCTCCTATAAATCCTTCTTTAAAACTCTTATTTCTACTSCCTCCTCCCCTTCCTTTCATGTTAAAGACGTTTGGTGCACTCCTATTCCCCCTAAGGTCAGTGCCTTCTGTTGGAAGGTTGTCCATGGCTGCATTAACACATGTAACATGCTTCAAAGGAAAAGACCTAAGTGGTCCTTGTCCCCCAATTGGTGTGTTCATAATCTCCTATCCCTTTGTTTTTGCATCTGGGAATGGTTTTTTTTCTCTTTATGGTTGCAAACGGTTCCCCCCTGCCAGTTTGGAGTGGTCATTTAGCCCTGCTGTGTTGAGGAGAAAAAAGAGGAGGGCGGGACGGGATTTTGTGGAGATGTGCATGAGCCACAGTGATCTGGACAGTGCAGGAAGAAAGAAATTCAAGAACCTTTGGGGAGGAGAGAAGTAAGGAGACAGTGATAGAGACCATTGCCTTTAGGGTGGCTCATTGGATTAAGACCTTGAAACTCTTCACAGACTTCAAGGTGGAGGACATTTTCAGGAGTTGGAGGGATATAGCAAACTCCAGCATGGGTAACCCGGGTCCCTCAGGAATTGGAGTACTTAGAGATGAGGAAGGAGCTATTTATGCCTTCTTCTCAGGCCCAATTGAGCAGGGTGGTTCAGCCAGAGTAGAATTTATAGCAGTTCTATGTGGGATGGAGAAAGCTAAGGAAATGGGAGCCAATAGGCTGATAAGGTGACTCTAAAATTTGTGGGATGGCTGAAAAAAAGGAGTGACTTGGCAGATGAGAAATGAGTTCCAGCGCTTTAAATGGCTTGCAAAAGACATGAATGTCCAAGTTAGATGGGTCAGACAATCTGCTAACAGCTTGGCAAACAGTCTTGCTAAGCAAGGAGTTCAGAGACAACAGATGTTTTTGGCATATTTGTAGTTTCAGTTGTGGATTAATTCTGAAATGGGTTTGCTTTTTTCACAACTTCTTGTTGTACTTTGTCGTTTCTCATTATTAATAAAATTTTGATTCTGCGTTGCTGATAAAAAAAATGGCAGGGCCACTCAAGACTATGAGGTCTACATTATGAGTTCATAACCCCCTTATTCATCTCATAATGAATAATGAGATGGTTAAAATTTCCCCTCCTTTTCAAACACAATGATGGATAGTGTGAGAAAATAACTTTTTGCATGGTCTCTTGGATCAATCTGTAAGCCAACAGGGATGAGGATGGTCTAACCCCCAAAGTCCAAGGAAAACGTTGATTTGAACGGGGGAAAATAGGGAAGGGATAAAAGGAACCGATCGGACCCCCAAAGGGGTTGTGTATATACCCTCCAATGAGGGGTCAGGCTGCTGAAGTTCACCAACCATGGAATTCCTGTGGAAGAATGCAAAAGAAGTCAGTGATGTGAAGGGAGAGAGAATGGGGGTTGTGTATATACCCTCCAATGAGGGGTCAGGCTGCTGAAGTTCACCAACCATGGAATTCCTGTGGAAGAATGCAAAAGAAGTCAGTGATGTGAAGGGAGAGAGAATGGCAGTGAGGTGGTGATTTAGGGAGAAGAGCGGTGGCTCAGAGGAGAGGGAGAATAATTGGGTTTGGGGCCTGTAATGGTTAAAGGTCCAAAAAAGATCTCCAAAGTTAGGATATGGAACCCCTGTTTATAGGGACTTTGGGTTTCCCGAATTCTAGAATGTTCCTTATGCATTTTCTTTACCCATTTTAGTCTTTAACTATATTATTCTAGAATGTTCTAGCACTCAAATGGATGCAATTAAATTTGTTTAAATGAACAATTGTCTAAAATGACCCACTGACCTGGATTTACAGTGGGTTAACCAGGTTTATGTACTAACATAAATCCACTGTCTCACACAATCATAAAAATTTCTATGAATGGCAAGACAAAAGAAAGAGGGAACAGGGCAAAAACAAGAGCTGTTATGAAGACCCTACTAGGAGGGAAATACAAAAAACATACAATATAAATTACCCACTAACCCCATCAAACAAACGAAAAAAGCATACATCACAACTCTTACATTGTCAACCCCCAATAAAGACCATTCCTATTCATACCTCCTCTAGCTAGGAGCAAGCTCTCTTTCAATTTAAATTCTGATCAAGAATAAAAGTAAAAATTGCTGGGCGCAGCCAGGGTACAACTTAGGTACGGAACTTTGTAAGTATTAAAACATGTATGCAACTCCTACAGGCATATTATAGTTCACATACGTTAAACTATCTATGGGAATATTTTATTCCTCAAAAAGGACAAGTCTTTATCATGTCATCTTGCATGAGAGAAAAACCTGAAGAAAAGAACACAAGAAAAACTTTTCTGAAGATATAACTGAGAAACAGACATCAACGACCATGCTTCCAATTCAGCTCAAGTTGTTGACTTTTGAGAAATTTGACTTTAAAGATGGATTAACATATTGCAAGTAGCAGATTCCAATATAATGACAAAATAAACACTTCCCATATAAATTTTTTGATTTCATGGAACCCAAATAATTAAATTCCAACTCAAATTTCAAAAGAAAATTAGAGTACAATACAATGTTGCAACAACAACAACAACACAACAAAACCACCAAAATCACGAAGAAAGGTTGCACATTTCAATTGAATCATTGAATGATGATTTAAGCATTCAAAAGCATGGACAAAATCCTTATCATAGCCCCCTCCCTCCCAAAACTTAGCACTGAAACTTACAGAGAAAGAGCTTTCTAATGCAAAGAAACAAAGATGCACCACAAAAGAGACCATAAAAGCTAGGAGAATTCATTAACAAGTGAGCACCAAAAGAATGAAGAAAGGACCTATGAAATAACACGGATACCGAATCTTCAAAATGTAAATAGGATTTCACGACAAGGAACAAAGAAAGTAACGGAACCTAAAAGCGATCCTAAACAATGTGTCCAAACCAATGACGAAAAAGAATAAATTCTTTTTTTGCAACTATAGACCACACACCAAAATTAACCCAGATCTAATCCCCATATAAACAGTCTTAACTTGCTAATCAAAGATGACTACTAGTCCCAATTCACCAAGTGACCTCTGCATTCACACGCACAGTTAATAATGAAGTCGAAACACGAAAACCCATTTCGATCCACAGTCCAAGAAGCTGAATGATTCAACTAAACAAAAAAAAAATGCTAGATCATCCGAATACACAGCCACGGAAACGATTATTCCACACAAATCACCAAAATATTAACAAATTGACCCGTCTCAAACAAACAATTGCCCAGATCTGAAGAAGACAGAATCAAATCGAAGAAAGACGACAAACCCAAAAAAAGATGTATGAGTTCAAAACTTCAAATACCAAATTCCTCACCGAGTAAGCTAATTAGGGTTGGAGATCAAAAGATATAGAGACAAACAGTGCACTTCACCTTGTGATCCGACTCGGAAGCAAATGCCGGAGAAGCAAAGAGAGAGAAGAGGGAGAAGGCGAGGAGGGAGAAGGATCGAACTGCGAAAAGCATCGCGGTTGAGGGCCAATATCTCAGTCAGAATAAAACGGAAATCTTGAATTTGTTTAGCTTTCTTCGTTCTCTTTCGTTTCTTTTGTTCCTTTTTTTCCTCCGACGCGAGCGAAAGAGCGCGAGAGGGAGAAGATAGACCCTGATTTTACTCGCTCGTGCTCATAGAGACTCGCGATTTCAACGTCTTGTGCGCGTTAAAAATTCTTGCATTACGACTTATTGTAATTATTGTATATACTAGCGGTACCCGTGGCATGTACGAGATCTGTTAAGCGAAAATTAATAGTAAGATATCATGATATTATATTTTTTATTTTTTAAACAATTAATAATTATTTATAACTATGATATGTGAATGATATCTGAAATTTTTTTGACCAATCAATTAATCAACTGATATCATAAATATGGTAGCCAATCAAGTATTATTTATCAAAATTCATGGGTGGATTTTGATGGTTAAAACTCTATACATATTGTTCCCGCGTCATAAATTTTCTTTTATATTTTATAGGATAAATTTCTTAAACTATCTCTAAGGTTTAGGAAATTGACTAACTATACCCTACTATTTCTGTATTGTCTTAAAGTATTCTTACTGTTTCTGACAATTGCCGCACAACTCCCTTCTCGTTAAGTCTCCATCACATGTCGTTTATATGTGACTTCACGTATTTGATTTAAGTTTAAATTATACCCAAAATACCCTTTCCAGCAAAGATCACCGTCTTCTCTATTCAAACCAACGACAACTAACTTTCCATCCTCCTCCACTCTGACCCTTCTCTCTCTCTCTCTACTCCCAACAATATGGAAACACTAGTCTATTCCACTCCTATGAACCAACTGGACCACTTATGACATGGTAACACCTGTATTTCCCATGGTTGCTCGCTTCTCTCTCTTTGGTGCACCCACTGATCATGTTTTCTTTGTCGCTACAAGCCATGGAGCATCTCGTGAAATTCCGGCCTTCAGAACCCATTATTTGAGAGAGCTTGTTATTTGGGACAAAGTATCCAAAGAGAGAATGATCACCATCGTTGAAAGCAACACTTGAAAACAAACAATGATACTTGACCAACCACCATGGGACAAAGAAATCAAGCCCACGAGAAAGAGAGGACGAGAGATAGGGAGACATTTTGTCAAGTCCACGAGAAAGAGACAACGAGAATGAGAGAGAGGTTGTTATCAAATCCATCGTTGCAAGTTGCAGGGGTGGTGGCGGAACAAGTGAAGTGAAAGAGGAGGGGAGAGAGAAAGAGAAAGAGGGAAAGAGATCTGTCAYTGTCTGAAGGAGCGCAGATCAAACCATCACCATTGGTTTGCCATTGTCTCAGATCAATTTATGATTCTCGTTGTTCACTCTCTCTCTCTCTCTCTCTCTCCTCTTGCCACAGAAGGTCATGAAGATCCAATTTTCTCTTCCAATTGTTTTTTATTCTTTTCCACAAGTGGTTATTTAAGGTTCAACTTGAAAATTCAGAAGTTCTCCTCCGTTATTCCTCTACCCTTGGGCAAGGTGGTACAAATGCATTTTGGAACAAACACTAGGCATTTCTTGTCTTTGTTTCATTTATCTTCTTGAGGATGTTGCATTGGTACTTGAACACTTAAATAAAATCGCCTTGTAGACCCAAAGAGACTTGGATCTTCTGCTTTCCATATTCATATTCTTTTATAACTTAGTTGACAAGCTAGGAGTTTTGTTAAAGCAATTTCCTGTTCTTTCCAAATGTTTTTTTTTTTTTTTGTTGACGGTCCTACAAACATTTTTGTTATTGAGCTAAACTGATTAGCTTCAAAAGTACTGCTTCATTACCTCCCTTACATGAAAATCCTTGAGGGCTTGGAATAGAGGATGGCAAGTACAAGTACAAGGTTGAAAGCATACTTATAAAGTTTCACATCCCCTGATGGTTAAATGTAACCAACACGGTCTGTTTTTTTGGTTGCTATATCCATCGTGTTGRMCCTCTTCAGTTGGAGTTTTGTATTGTCTTGCATCAGGACAATGATATACTCTGTCATGAAAACAATTTTTTTTTCAAGTTGAAAGAATCTGAGAAAACCTAAATATCCTTAAATGTAGAGAATGGATTGGGTTTCAATAATCTCTCAATTTAAGATATGACTCTGATGCATTTAGATTACACTAGCAAGTGCACTAGCCGATCAAATAATATACTGATGAGTAGAGTATTGTTCCCACATGGATTAATCCAATAACTACTAGTACTGAATCAGCCTTTTGTTATCTGACAATCTGAAAGGTTAAACAAAGAAAAAAACTTAACTCCTAATTAGCAAATTATCCTAAGTATTATTGGATCAAACCGCCTTAAGTAATGAGAGGAAGTGCTTCACGAAAATACTAACAGAACCGGTTCAGCAATTATACCATTAAGCTATCCAACCAAAGTTGAATTCAGTCATGGGTTGGCTAATTCCTAATTGTATGGGCAGCCTCTTTCAAGCACAACCCACTCTATCTATGAGCAACAACTCTTATATTTCTATCAAGAATTTTATCGCCATAGATGCATTAAGGACAAAGAATTCGAAGGAAATCAATTATTGATGAATGAATGCCAAACGAATCATGCACATTATCTCTAAAGTACATTCAATCCGTTTTCTTGATCAGTTGATCTGATTACCTAAACCCTTTCTCAAGCAATTTAAATAATCCAAGAAACAAGAGCAGTTTGGTCAAAATTACTCTTATAATCGAAAACCCTAATCAAGAAATCCCAAGAATGAATCACTATCAATCGGATCAGCTTAAAATATTAATTACAAATTTGAATTAACATCCATCATGGTCCGCTTAATAGAAAGAAAGAAAGATTCAACAAAGAAAAACCCTAATTGAATCTAGGTTACTGAATTCGCAGAATCAAAGAAGAAGACACTTAAAATTTCTGCATCAATCTTCGGCCTCTTCTTCAATTCTCCTTCAGCAGCCTTCTGATCCTTCTCCTAGCACTTTCCTCTTCGTTCTTGTGTCAAGGGGTCGAACCCTAATTTCCTCTTTTTCTTTTTATTTTATACTCTTCTTTTTTAGCTTTTAATTGAGAGTCCTACTCCTTTTTAATACTCCTAAAGTCAGCCGCCTTTTGGAGCCTCCCATAGGGCTGCGGTTGGGCCTCTCTCATTGGCGGGCCGAAGTCCTCCCCTTGCCGCCATATCACCATGTATTATGTTCTCTTAACTCTAAATTGTCCCAAATTCCCAATTTCCTGAAATTCAGCTCAATTAGGGTAAAATCCATTAAGAATCATCATCAAAACCATGTATAAATCAATAAAAATAATGTGTAGCATGCGCACACATTACACTCCATACAGAGTTCAGCTTTGTCCTCTTATTGTAACTTTCGCTTGATGCATCATGTACTTTACTTTCCTATGAAATTGACGTTTCCAAATTTAGCATAGGACTCCATATATGATTAGTTCTATCTTCTTATCAGAAAAATCAGTGTGCTTAGTTCTTTATGTATGCAAATCACTTTCAGTTTTGGATGGTAGGGGTTTCCGCAAGTAGTGCAGGCGAGATTTGGGACTACTTCCGTTGATTGGAGAAATTTGAGTGAGAAGTGAGATCTGCATGTTCTTCAGCTTCTTCCACAAACTTCAGAAGGGCCCCACAGTCTCCACATCTGAGGGATAGGCGTACCATTGGAGAGATTTGGATGATGATTCTCCATAGAACCAAACGAGTAGAAGAATAAAAAGAGTCATGGCAGACTTCCTCCACCATTGGAATAAGAGGAGGAACAAGCAAGACCCAAAGGATCACTATAAATTAAGGGATTCAAGAAGAGGGGATTTTGAAAACCTCTCTTTGAATTATATCTCTCCAATTTAGAGAAAGGAAACTGGGGCTTTGGTGATACAAGAGGAACAAAGAAGAAAACCGAAGTTGCTCAATAAATCCTGATGAGGGGTGATTTGGCCCGACCTAATAAACAGTGGACATGTGGATACGACCTAATGACTGGACATCGACTTAAAACTTTCTGCCACCTCAACAAGACAGGTCACCTCGGCTAGGACCAAGGTCCGAGCAGCTCGTGGTGCCCCAAACTACCAAGGTGACATCCAACCAACTTCTAGAAGCTAGCCAGCTATCTACGAGCTTCACGGGATCACGCCACACGTCCTTAGGTCTTATCCTCATCCTGCCCGGATCGGACGGACATGATAAGCCTTATCGGCTAGCATGATATCCACCTCCCGGTGCGGAACAGACTCCTAACAGCGCGGGAGGTGTTTTGTAAGACCCATGGCAGCTCAACTATATAAGGGCATCTACCCCAGTGGTACAAGGTATGCACGATTTACTGCTTACTAGCTCTCATACTCTTAAGCCTTCAGCTCGCACACAATCAGTTACTAACTTAAGCATCRGAGCGACCACGCCAAGTTAGCCACCCCGGGTTCTCTAATCCTTCCTGTCTTGCAGTTCGACAAGCCAGATAAGAACCGACGTCCAAGCTGCCATCCAGCTAGGAGCAACCAGATCGCGCACCATCAATTGGCGTCGTCTGTGGGAAACACTACAAAAGGCTAAGTTCTCACTCCTACTTGCTCAACTTCTCTCTACAAGATCTTATCAATGGCATCCTCAAGCAATACCAAAAAAACCATTGACACGACCGTTACTAGGGGGCACGACTAGCTTGCACTGAACCCTGAGACCCCCTTAGTGACGATTGGCTAGCTCACCATCCCCCTCATCATTTCGGAGGTACAGACAGTCCACAACCAGACCTTCAACACCCAACCGATTAATGCACCTCTGCCTCATGTGAGAGCCGCCTTCCCAGTCGTAGAGCCTTCTATGGTTCCTCCTGGGGTCGGAGCGCAACAGTTCCATGAACTGATGCAGAGTGTGCAAATCATGCAGATCCAACAGTTTCAGTACTATCAGTACCAGCAATACTATCAATAATAGTTTCCCCCTCTCTAGCAGAATCATAACCAAACTCAAAACCAACAGAACGGGCGTTAGTCTCCACCCCGGGGTGCAGGGCTGTTTCGGGTCCCAACCCCTCGTCGGGGCTAGACCCCACCTCGGGACCCAGTAGCAGGTCGACGCACACCACCACCTCGCTAGGTGGTGAACTAGCGAAATTGGTCCCAGAATAGTTGTCAAAACAAGAATGATCAATAGCAACACCGCAATGACA